TTGGTAGATTTTTATCATAATTTTATAGGTCAGGTGACACAGGCTCAGAGAGGTTATGTGATCTGTTATTTAATAAAATCGATCGAATCTATTTTAACTTCATTTCCTCAGAGATATTTAAATGAACAAAGTATTTCAATAAATATTACTATAAAAGACTATTTGCAGAGCCATGATCCTCGGCCGGGTTTGTAAATATCGAATTTCGTCAAAGGAAATGAGCTTCACGCGCAGAATTTCTCGAGCAGGAGGCCGAACGGGCTGTCATCTACTGCTGGCACGAGCCGTTCGCCGTTTGCCGCCGCTGCTGCTGGTGGCGACAGCGATACTGTCTCACTCTTTTTCTCCATTAATTAATAAGCCGTTTTGGAGCATCTTTTATGTAACAAGCACTGTTTGGGATTCCTGGGGTTCCTAAAACGAGTAATATTGGGCCTTGACCTTAAGAAGCTCTAAGTCTAACACACAAACAGTATTAGACTATCTAATCAGTAGTTTGACAGTATAGTTTGTGCTCTCATAGAAGTATTTATACCTTTGAGGACTAGTTTTCAAGAAGATGGTTATATTTTCCCCAGAGTCTCCCCCTGGGCTGTGTAAAGCTTGAAAGTCCACAGATTTCCCTCTTTGGTTTAAAGCTAGCATTGAGTAGTAGAAAATAATACTTCTTAGCTCTAGGATTTTGGACCAGTCTCTCAGTCACTAAACCTTATCGTCCTCAACTATAAATTAGGGATGGTAGCTACCTCACAGGCTATCACGAGGATCCAATGACATTGTAAAAAAGTGGTCTGTCATCTTTAGATGCAGAAGTTCTATGTTATACTTCTGTTTATAGGGTATTATTAATGTTGAGTACAAATGCAGTAATCAATTAATTCAGTGTTTACGGGTATATGGTTTTGTTTCTGGGACGATGTGCTAATGGGCATTTAGATGTATGTTATATCTACTTTCTTCCTAACTGCAGTGAAGAGGATGAAAATGTAATCAGGGTAGTGGGTGTCTGAGTAATGGAGGAGAAAACAGAACTAAGGCTGCCTGGGACAGGAAAAGGCACCAAAAGCAGATTAATATACAAATTCACTCATTCACAAGTCTACTCAGCGTTCTCCTGGTCATCATCATCATTAAAATAATTTACCAAACACTAAATAAAATTCATACATCGAATGGTGTGCTGGTTAAATGCTTAACAACCGACTCTCTGGAAAAAACAAACATACACATGATAGACAGCACTGGCCAATTTCTGTAAATACTCCGGCCATGGGCAACCCCAAGCTGCTGATATGATGTCACTGAACAGGGAGTTGGGAAGAGATGCACAGGAGCGTATACATGACCGCCACTAAGTGAATACAATAGACATAAGTAATCTCGAGAATACAGATAATAATAGACATAGCAAAATGATTAGGAAGGGATGAGTTTTAAGTATTTGCTAGCTGTACTTTTAAAATTATTTAAAATGCAATTCAATTTTATTTAATTGTTAATATTGGCAGTTTTGAACATCCAGCTTGCAAAATTCCTGGAAGTTTAACAATCAGCTCTCATGAGCCGGCGGTAGCACAGCCAGTCTGGCGCCAGTTCTGGGAAAGGCCACCCGCTCTTCTGGGAAGAAACTGTGGTTAGGAGCCTTTCTCCCCCTTCCCATCCTAAGCTCCTAGATACCAAAGCAGTTATGACACTGGATTGTGATCTCATCTTGCTCCCTCCACACCAGTGTCCCCTGAGGCCGGTGTCTGTGACATTTTCTGCCCTGTCTTCTGTATCTAGCCCTGTTCCCGGCACAGGTGAAGCTCGATAAATGCACACTGGAGAAATGAACGGACCTGGATCTGTTGTCCAGGATCCCGCAACGTAACGTGATGATGTATGGAGATGCGGAGCAGCAGAAGACACACACGCTTTAGTCAAAGCTCTGAATAAACATGTGAACGGATAATAAAGTTTTTTTTTTCTTTTAATTATCTACAAGTGGCTTTGAGTGGGGATGGAAAATCATAGGGATTATGGATCAATGAAAATAGATGCTGCGGTTCTTTTCCTACCCCTATTGTGATTTAAAACCAAGACATCACCAAGTTTCTGTACCTCATCTGTTTACTGATATTCTTTTGATGTTCAAGTCTTTAGTAAAAGCAGCAAATATTCACTATAGAAGAAAGTACAATATATAAAAGCATAAAGAACTAAAGCCATCTATGTTTACACGGTTGATGTATTAATGAAGATAGGTTAAGATAATAGCACTTGAAAAAGTAACAGTGGCTTAAACAAAGTGCTTTATTTCTTCTTTAAGGAAAAGTTTGGAGGTATGCAGACTCAGGTTGGTGTGGTGGTTCTGCTGCCCAATGTCCTTGTGTGTGCTGCATGCCACTGAGTAGGCTCTGACTCCCGGTGACTCTTAAGAATGACTGAGGTCCACAATGTCCTGTCCCCAGGGGCTCAATTTCCTTTCGGTTCAGGGCTTGCCCATCCCTAGGGTGTGGCCTTATTCCTCGTGGTCCAAGTCAGCATCCATCCTCTTGGAAGCAGGATGGAGGATGGGATGAAGAAGAGGCACAGGGACAGGGGTCTCTTTACGAAACCCTTCTCAGACTTGTCCTGCGGCACTTAACGTAACATCTTACTTGTTAGAAACTAGCCACATGGCCACCTTTAGCTGCAATGGAGCCTGGGAAATGCGGTCATTCTCAGCAGCCTTGTGCTTAGTTAAAATTTCTATTACCATTGAAGCAGGGGAAAATGGATTTTTAGGGCCAACTGACAGAATTTGCTGCAGTTATTTCTAAGTTACACTGCAAACAGAAGAATTGATAGGTTAGGAGTTATGCCCATTTTCAAGGTTTTTGATGCATACTGATAAGTTTCCCTTCAGAAGCTCTGAACACATTTACACTCCCAAGGACATATATGAATACTAATATTCAAGACAAGAATCAATCGACTCGCTCAATGTTCACTATCTGGCTCTGCTGCTGGGAAGATGTGATCACGTGCCCACTGTCTGACAGATCTGGACTCTGCTGTCAGGACTCCTTCAGCTGCAAGTGACAGATGGCCTACCAAGAGTGTTGAGTTTATTCTGATGTTGAGTAAATTAAGGAAAAGGAACTGTGTAGTGTATGTTGGAGAATTAAAATTGTTCTTCTGAAGAGGAATGGAGAGCAGGATCATGTAGGAAGTAAAAATTTTGAGGCCTAACGAGAGAAGAGCACGTGTGATATGATGTCCTCTTAATGTCATGCAATGGCTTTTCCACATATGCTTTTATCATACGCTATATTGCAGGCCCTACCTTTGTGGCACCAGGGACCGGGGCTCCTATGATAATCTAACGCCTGATGATCTGAGGGGGAGCTGAGGCGGTGATGCTGGCGCTGGGGAGCGGCTGCACATGCAAATGAAGCTTTGCTCGCTCCTTCATCCACTGTTCACCTACTGCTGAGCAGCCCGGTTCCTAACAGGCTATGGACTGGTACCGGTCCGCAGCCCTGGGGCTGGGGACCACTCTTGCAGGCAATGTCCTAAGTGCTTTATGTATAGTCTCTCACTGAATTCCCATGGCAGTCATATATTTTTATATATCCATATTTTACACATGATGAAGTGAAGGCTCAAGAGAGGTCGTTAGGGGTGGAGCTAGAATTTAAACCCCATTCTGTCTGATTTCAAGGTTCTGCTTTCTGCCCCTCTATTTTGAAGTGTGAACTGATAAGAAAACAAATTTGGTTAGGATCCGTTTTGCTGTAGCATTTGAACTAACTTAAGGCTATAAAAAGACATTATTGAATCTTTAAAACTTATAAAAGAATTATAGAGAACAACAAATGAAATGTTGTTAGGGAGATGAAGGACCCTAGAGATTTTGTCTACACCAGGGGGCCTTTGGGCTTGAGTGGGATACCTGCCTTCATAACACCTTGTGTTCACTCCAAGACAGACAGATCTTATCTCTACTGTAGTTGTCTATTTATGTTGTTGTCTCTGCCACCAGACTTATATCTTGGGTACCGGGTATCAGGCCTTTGTATTCTCAGGGCCCAGCATAATGCTTGGCACATAGTAGGTGCTCAATAAATATTTGCTGAATGCATTATATGAGCATTTGTTTTATGGTCACATTAATACGTATTTACTGAAAGGGAATTTTATTAATTTACTATGAAGCCAAATTTTAAGAGGTGTACAATAATAACTAGACTAGTATAAAATATTATTCTGACCGTGGCGATAAAGAGAATGTTTATAAGGCATCTGAATCTGTGAATAATACTGAGTGCCTACAACACGCCAGGCTGTTTTAAGTGTTTAACATAGTATTTAGTTCCTTAATTCTCACAAAAACCTAATTAGGAAAATAAATTATCTCCACTACAAAAATGGAGAAAACTGAAAAACCAGGACACGAATCTATGTAGATACATTCTAAAGTTTCTTTAACAACCAGGCTATTTTTACTTCACCATTGTGTATTAGTTGTTCATTAGATATTATTATTATTTTGCATGACTCCAGCATAGTGTCTTCTAATGACACCTTAGATCCTTATCCTGCTGCTTTGTCTGTTAACTGTAACACCCTCTCCTCCCAAAGGCACAGACTCAGTGAGAGGAACCCCAAGTATCTTGGAAAATCGTGCTTTTATACCTGAGCATCCTCTACTCTACCTCCCAAAAATGAGTCACTTGCGATCAGAATTATTCATTATTCACTGTAATAATCAGGGGCTCATTTAACAGTTTCTCCCGAAAAGCGTGCGGTTGCGCCTCGCAGGTGACTGCCGCACTCCAGAAGCGTGCTGGGGCGCACACGCCCCGCGCCTCCGCAGCTTTGTCACGGGAGAAACTACACTTCCCAGGGGCCTGTTCGTTCCCCGAACTCGCCCTTCCCAGCTGCAGGAGGCGCCCACAGGAACCCCGGCCGCTCTGCGGGGCAGCGTGGGCGGGAGAAGCAGCACCGCGCCGACGGCCTAGGCCTCCCGCGCCCGCGCGCCCCGAAATGGCTCGGGTGCAGGGCGAGCAGAGAGGCGGCGCGCCGCTGATGGCGGAAGGCCAGTCGGGCGCCGAGGTTAAGCTCATTCTGTACCACTGGACGCATTCCTTCAGCTCGCAAAAGGTAAAGGCCTCGCGGGGGCGGGCGGCGCGGATCGGGTTTCAGCACCGGGACAGCTCCCTCTGCGCCCCGCCCGGCCGGCCCACCTAGGGACAGGCCTCCCACCGCGCCCTAACCCCTGCGTACCCTCTCTCGGGGATACGGATGCGCCTTTGGGGGAGCAGAGGGAATCAGTCAGAGATGGAAAGGCTATGACCCAGGCACTGGCACTCACGAAATGCGACCAAAAGGCATCGCTTTAGGTGGGGGCCTTGTCCCCTGGGCCTTGCAGGGTGAGGCAGAAGGAAGCGCCATCAAGCAACGGAATAACCTACAGCTCCCTCTTTTACTCATTCTTGTTCCCGTCCACTCTCTTCCAGAAGGCCCAGCATATCTGTATTTCCGGGTCTTGTCTGGGGGTGGGGGGACATATGATTAGGTTTAGGGTGCCAAGAAAGCAGTGGAGACGGAGAGGGTGACTGTAAATGAATACGGCTAGAATCATTTTCCTTACTTATTATCTTTTCTAATTTATAAGGACGAGACCCTAGACTATCTCTGACATGTTAATTTGAGAACAGGAGTAGTCACACGGAGTTTAACAGGGATATGATCTCAGAAATGCGATTTCATCGTTCTGCGAACATCACATACTGCACTTACACGCACCTAGATGGAATAGCCTCCTACACACCCAGGCTAAATGGTACAGCCTATGCTCCTAGGCTACAAGCCTGTGCATCATATTACGTACAAAAGAACACAAGATTAAATCAAGCACGAGAGAGAGAACGATGCAATCAGGAGGCACAGTACACACGAGACGCGTGAGGCTGCCGCTAGGGGAACACGGCACACAGTTTTAAAGCAAATACACTCTAAAAACACCAATAAGAAGCACAGTCTAGTAAATACATAAACCAGCAGTACAGTTGTTTATTATTATCAAGTATTATGTATGGTACATAATCGCATGCACACACCACTGGCAGCGCAGTAGGTCGGTTCACACCAGCATCGCCACGACGCAGACGTAAATGCATTGTGTGTCGCGATGTCACGAGGTGGTAGGGGTTTTTCAGCTCCATTATCATCTTAGGGATATACTGTCGTATATGCAATCTGTTGTTGACCTGAAGGTAGTTATGCTGTGTAGGACTGTACTCAAAAAGAACGTTGAAAGTATTAATAACTCAGGGGAGCACAGAAAAGCTGCTTGGAGGTATCTGGGGATGTCGTTTCACCGAAAGCCTGCATGCGCTGTGGTAACGGTGTGAACTCTTCCAGGTGCGCTTGGTAATTGCTGAAAAGGCATTGAAGTGCGAGGAACATGACGTAAGTCTGCCCCTGAGTGAGCACAATGAGCCTTGGTTTATGCGTTTGAACTCAACTGGAGAAGTGCCTGTCCTTATCCACGGGGAAAACATTATTTGTGAGGCCACTCAGATCATTGATTATCTTGAACAGACTTTCCTGGATGGTAATGTTAAGGCTATTTGTGATTTCTTGGATTTACTTTTAATACAAATCTGTTTACTCCATCCCTTCCTTCCTCCCTCCCTCCCTCCCTTCTTTCCTCCCTTCTTTCCTTCTTCCTCCTTTCCTCCCTCCCTCCCATTCTATTTCTTTCTTTTTGGTTTCATGATGGTGATTTAGTGATAAAAACCTTTTCCATTTCCATAAGCACCCAAATATAAAATAAGTCAATAACATGTAATTTTGTATAAGCCAATGTAACTCTGTTTAAAAGAATTTCATGTAAACTACAAATTTTAATGTTGGAACTTTCCTTTTCGATTCACTTGCAAAAAACCCTGCAGGTGTGTACTTTGTGCTGGTGATTTAGTAGCCTCGATGTCAAATTCATAACATAGCTTCAAAATGTACACTATGAAAATCAGCTTTATCTGTTCAACCATGGTAATACCTTAAAAACAGGAAGAGGGCAAAAAGAGGAATAACTTTTAGGCAAGGGAGAATAGACTGTGGTAAACTTTGATTTTTTTTGTCTCTGTTACATCTGCATAGTTTGAATTTCATATCTTTTGTAAGGAATATTATAGGGCTTAAATTTATAGAGTGTTTAAGAAATAATCATGTATTGATAGCCTGTTTTATATCAGGCATTTTGTAATTTGTTCTATTTGGTCTTCAAAGAACCCACCTGAGACAGTCATGGTAGACTAGTTATTCCCACGTTGCACGTGAGGAAAGAGAGACAGAGAGGTTGTCGAAGGTAACGGAGCTATTTCATGGCAGAGTAGGGCTGGAATGCAAGTCTTTCAAATGCAGACCTCCACGGTATACCGACCATCTCCCCCGGTCACGGCCCTTACACACTGTCTTGCTAGTTCCTAATGACGACCCTTTGTAGCTTCAGTGATTCGCCCAAGATTACAAGCTGGTCCCTGGCAAGACTGAGAGCAGAACACAGGGCTCCAGCTTCCGGCTGGGCACCCTTCTGTGATTTCTGACTTCCAGCTACTCTTCATCCGCCCCCACTTATGTCAGTGTTCACTGGGCAAATTAAAACCAGAACCTAACCTCAAATCGCTGGAAGCTGAGAAAGGAAACTGGCCCCAAACATGTCAGGTATTACTTCTCAGGAAAATAGCTATGGGACCTGAATGGGGGAGGGACCCCAGGGAACTAGATGGACGGTAGGCCACTTCTGCTCTTAGTCCAAGTGCTTCATTCCCTAGGGTTCTGCTTCGAGGTTTTCTTAGAGATGGCCATTGATCTAAACCAAAGAATTTGATACAAACTGCTTCCTCCGTCACCATTACTTGCTTTCCATTCTCTATGCAGAGTACTGTACTGAAAATGGTGGCTAATTGATTTAAGATCATTTTTTTCTCAACCTTGAGCTTTTTGGAAATGGACAAGTGTTAAATAATAATTTGTATTTCTTGGGAGAAGTGATTATAATAATGTGAATAATAGTGTGAGAATTCTATTTTAAATAATCCAAAACTTTAAAAAGATACGGTAAATGGAAGACTATATTTAAAGCTTTTGCTAGCATCCACTGAACTATTATCCTCCTCCCTCTCCTCCTTCTCCGTCTCCTTACATCGTTTCTCCTCTAAGATATTCAGGAATATGAAATTCGTTGGTTTACTTCATAATGTAGTGATGTGCATGATTCTCAGGCTTTCTTAAAATTTTCCTTAGGTGCTTCTTTTTTCTTTGAAAGTCTAAACAAAACTGAAATACATTCAGAGTCCAGCTCGAACAAGGAAATACTAAGTTCTTCTTCTTATGATTTATTGAATCCGAGGCATCGTGGGCTAAATGTTAAGATGAAAATATGGAAACTAAGCACTTTAATTATGATTGTACCAAAAGAATAAGTAAGCAATCAAGAATCTAGCTTTTAGTTTGAAGCCGTCCCTAACTTGTTGTGGATCCTTGGTGACTTGACTTCTCTGTTGGTCCTTTTGGATTAGATGACATAGTTTTTTTTTTTTCTTTTTTTTTTTTAAATCAGTTGCAGAGATAAAGCAAGTCCAATCGGTTCTTATTTCACTCATTCCTCTTTCCTAGGAGAGTAGTCATTCCATTGGATAAGGCTGAAAAAAGATGATAATTCAGGGACCTAAAACCATGGCAGATATAAAAACAGCAAGAGAACAATTAGTTATGTAAATGAAGTCCAGTCTGATCTACAGATGGACTGTATCCCAAAGTATTAAATAAAAAACAAACACGTGTTATGACGATTATCATTAAGATACTTTGTATTTATCATTAGGGACT